TGAGGCATAGCAGAGCAGGTGATTGTCATTGAAACTTGGCCGCAGCTGCTGCTGCTTCTGACACTGGAGAATGTGCACTTTAGCATCATGTCCCACTCTCTGATGCTAAACAGCCCTTTTCAGTCTTTTAATAGATTCTTGAGGGAGGAGGAAGTGGAGGCCAAGGTTAGCTTTGTTCGCTTGTGTGCCTGCCTCAGTCAGATTGGCATCTGGCACCAAGCCTACTGTTTAGTCAGATGGTATTGTTTTCTGTTATACACACACACACACAGAGCAGGAGCTCAAGCCATATGTCTCTGTGTCTTCAAGTTACATTGCACTGACCAAAATCATATTTACCACACACTGAGGTATACATTCAAAATACATGTTCTTTGGCATCTGCAACCATGTCAAGTGAGGTTCTGTTTTTTCAACATGGCAGTGGGGTGGGAGCAATAGAGAAAACTCCCTCCAACTGATTTCTACTCTCTTTAGTGAAAAGAATGCGTAGAATGTGGTGAGAGGATCAGTTCAACCAATGATCACACAGAGAGAATTTTGAATCTTCCAAGGAAAGCCTCAGTGGACAATGAATGTGATTAGAGCTTTCCAAATCTTTCCCTCCCAGACCCCTAAAGATGGCTAGAATCGTTCCCTCCCAGACCCCGAAAGATGGCTAGAATTCATTCAGAATTCATGTGAAACCCTGCCTTCTTATCCCACCCGGATGTGGTTTTCTTCCATGTGAAAGCTTCTTAGAACGCCTTAAGACCTGCCTTCCCTTTCTAGAGTAAGTTTAGAAACTTCAGAACTATGAAAATAGAAGTCAGTAAACTATGCCCCCATGTACCAAATCCAGCCGGCTTCTGGTTTTTGTAAACAAAGTTTTACTGAAACAAAGAAATGCCTTTTTTTTTTTTAACCAATTGTCCATGGCTGTTTTCATACTACAATGGCAATGTTGAGTATTGCCAGAGGAGACCATTCTGCCCACAAAGCCCAAAATGTTTACTATCTGGCCCTGTACTAAAAACATGTGTAAGACCCTGGGAAATAGAATCCCATGTCCTGAAGGACTGATTGAATTAAACCTTATGACCAAGAAATAACAGGTCAAAAATATGTTTATATTCAGTTCACACCAGGTTTATACCAGGTGAGCTGTGAAGCTAGGGGCCAAATGTGCCACCTCATTTAATTCTTATTCAAATATTACAAAGTCAAAGAAGTTCTCTCCAAAAAGTAGGCCTGCCCTTGATTAGTCTCTTCAACACAAAGCATGGAGTAGTGCAGGGCTGTAGTTTCTCTGTGAGTCATCCTCTTTGTTGAAGCTGACATTGCTCCCCATACTTGTCACCCCACACCTGATAGCCAGGCACTAAGATGGCCATAACATTGGCATAGCCAATAGTGCCTGGGGATGTTAATGACACACAGCTAATTAAATGTCCTAGAAAGGAAAACAATAACAAGCTTTCTCAAGCTCTGGGTCATATACTCATCGCCAGCATGTGACTACTATTATCCCTTTTGTCTTAGAAGAAAACTTATGCAGAGGCTGACTAGGCATAAAAGGCAGATTTTATATATGTACAGTATTTAACAACTCTATAAGTTCCAAAATTGCCTGAATAATTCAATCCACAGGAAACGGACCATTCCAAAGAACTCCCATCCATGACTTACTAAAGTTAATGATGTTGGTTTCCGGAGAGATTGTAACTGCTGATATTATATGCATAATAATATATTTGGTGAAGTTAGTTACCCTAAGAAAATCTGCTCTGGATATTTTTTTTTAGAACTGTCTGCTTTGTGGTGACTGGAGTGAGAGCCAAGAGACTGGAAATCATGTGACTCAGGGAAGATCACTTAACCTCTCGGTTTCAACTGGACTCTGGAAATGAGGAGTTTAGACAAATAACAAGAAAATCACCCTCCTAGCTTACAAAGCACTTTTCGAAATGTTGTCCTATGATTTTTAGATGAGTTGTGTGTCTCCAACATATCTAAATGCCACTGAACATGCTGAAACCAGCTTGGTAATTCTTCAATAGTCTAGAAACAGCAGATCAAAGTGTGCAGCAGTTTGAGTGTCCCCTCCAAAACTCATGTTGAAATTTAATTGTCATTGTGGTGGCATTATGAGGCAGGATCTTTAAGAGGTGATTAGGTCATGAGAGCCTCAACTTTATGAAAGCATTAGTGCCCTTATCATGAGAGTGGGTTAGTTATCAGAGGTGTGGGCTCAGGATAAAAGAATGAATTTGGTTTGATTTCCTCTCTGTTTTGTGTGCTCGCCATGTGATGCCTTCTGTCACGTTATGACACAGGAAGAAGACCCTCACCAGATGTAACCCATCAGTCTGGAACTTCCCAAGCTCTAGAACCATGAGACAAATATCTCTGTTTTTTTTTTTTTCTTTTTCTTGTAAATTCCCCTCTCTGTGGCATTCTGTTTTAGCAGCACAAACAAACTAATACAAGGTGTGATTCTCATTTTCCACCATGCCCTTCTTTACAACAAAGACATTGCTCAAAAAATAGAGTATTTTAGGGGTTTGAATTTTTTTTTTTTCCAGCACTCACCTATGCCCACTTCTTACCTAGTCCTCATCAGATACTCCTTCTAGGTAACTGGCCTCAGTTAGTTGTGCCATAGGCCTAAGATTAGAACAAAGCCAAGAAATCCTAGCAGATAACATGAATAAATGCAAGCCTGTGTACACCATCACTCAATTAAAGCCTGATCTTTAGAACTAGAAAACACCCAGTGAAACATTGTGGTATTCATGTGTCTTGGTTGCATTCCTCTCTTTCCACTAGTGATGATCAGTTAAGTTTATGTGAAGTGTTTTGCCAAACTGAGGTCCTCTCTTTCCCAGGCATCTGTACTAATCCTGGTGGAGTCCTCATGGTGAAAACCTCAGACTCTGTTCTTCATTTTCAGAATTCTTATGCAGAAGAAATTTCTGTGTTTCTGACTGTGTGTGCACAGGAGCACAGTTTTGTGGATTACAGTGTGTATTTTGGGGGCAAGTTTTTGCAGTGTATGAGTTTGTACCATGTTACAGCAGTGGATAGAATGTGGAAGGGTTAGGAGACATTTTCTTGGGGCCTTTCCAAGTTGCCAAATGTTTCCTATAAAGCTCAAGTATACTGTCAGACTTGGATTTCCTCTTCTGACATTCTCAGCTGGTGGCATTTGTAGCTCTGAGAGTGCACCTGAGCTATTGGAACTGAATGGTTGGCATAAAGATCTTCGGGGACAATGGGTAAAGAAAAATGTCATATCTGTCTACCCAGTGGTAAGAGTTTGGTGTAAAAAGAAAACAAAATCAACTTCCAACTCAGTTTCTTGCCCAGTAACATTCTGCTAGTCAATCAAGTCATCCAATCCCAAATGCTTAGGAATTTTAATGTGATTCTGGTGGTTTGGAAATTAAGTATATAGGCCAAACATCAGAAGGCTTGGTGAGATGCTCAGTACTAGGTAAAAACAAGAATCAGGCCAGGCACAGTGGCTCACGCCTGTAATCCCAGCACTTTGAGAGGCTGAGGCGGGTGGATCACGAGGTCAGGAGATCAAGATCATTCTGCCCAACATGGTGAAATCTTGTCTCTACTAGAAGTACAAAAATTAGCTGGGTGTGGTGGTGTGTGCCTGTAATCCCAGCTACTTGGGAGGCTGAGGCAGGAGAATCACTTGAACCAGGGAGTCAAAGGTTGCAGTGAGCCGAGATCCTGCCACTGCACTCCAACCTGGTGACAGGATGATACTCCATCTCAAAAACACAAACAAACAAAAATAACAATTAAACTAGAAAAATATTAATTATTACAGCATCTCTTCCTGATGGGTTATTTTATCTTATATACCCTGAAAAAGAAAAAAGAAGTTGCACTTGAATAAGAAAATGAAATAAACTGAAGTGCACATTTGTCTGACAAACATCTATTTTTAGAAAATTTTTGAGGTCTTAAAAAAAGATGTAAGTAGCATGGAAAGATTTTTCATGAACAATATTTAAGTTGACATAATTATATTGGTTTGGTAGACTTTTATTTTAGGGTAATGGTTTCCTAACTTGTTAGGACCCAAGCAACACTCATCTGCTTCAATCAAAGTAGCTACAAGTTCATTTCTGAGAATCCCCATGGCTTCTCTAGCTGATATAATGGAATGAAAACGGAGCTAAATCATAGAGAAAACAGTGTGACAGACACTGCTAAATTTCTACCTAAATCTGCCTCATCCCGCTATTCTACCCCAATTTTTCCTTACTTGCAGAACCCCAACTTCGCTCTAATACTGGGAGCTGCCATGAGGTCAAGCATGGAGATCACCTTTGGCCCAAAAGTGAACCTCTATTGATTTGTATCAATCAGAGTAGTCTTAATTGCTGGCCAGTCATTGTCTCAGGCACGGACATGTGCTCCAACTCTGAGCTATGTAGAACTAAGGTCTCCTGGGAGCATCTGGAGAAGACTTTTCTAAACAGAGAAAAGCCATGCAAAGCAAAGTCTGTTTTCTCTGCTGGATTTCTGAACTAGGGTGAGCCACGTCATTTGCAAACTCAAGTGAAAATTTAAAATGTGAAGATCCTTATTCAAGAAGCAGGATCAAACTGTTTCCTTTTTTTAATGATCTCCCCTTCTTGACTTGTCATGGTGGTTTTTATTTGTGCTTTGAGTTTGGGGCAGCCCTACAGGTACCTAGAGCCTCATCCTACAACTCAGCATGCACAGCACACATTAATCTGACCCCGATCCCCTGCACATATACTCCAACCCCTGCTGGAGGCAGAGGTGGGCAGCAGCTGTTGGGCAGTGGCTGGGGGCAGGTGGCCTAGAATGTTTTCTAGCAAGGAGGTCAGGCAGGACTGCCCATGAGTTGAAGGCTCTGAGTGCCTGGTACATGCTTCTTTGTTCCATCATACTTCACTAACAAAGCACAAATTCAAAGTAGAATTACTAAGAATTTCAATACAGTGACCACAAAGCATTAGCGCCCTAGTAGGACCTGCTGAACTTGAGGTCCTGTGGAGAACACTGATGGCCCACCCCTGAAGGTGGCCCTGGTCTTCATGCCTGCATCAGCCTCAGCCATCTCAAGATCACAACGAGAACATAGCCAAGTTAGAGAAGAATGACCAAAAGCATTGGGGTGCTTCGTATTATTAAGCTGCTAAATTAACTAATCTTGGGAATTTCTATACTCAACAATTCTTGTTGTATGGGGTAATAAACTCCTTGTTTTATGGGCCATTTTGGGGGGTTCTTTTGTTAATTACAACTGAAAGCATCATAACTGATAGGAAAGATTGCATTGGTGAACAAGGTCTACAAAGGGACTAGCAGGAGATGGGAAAGGTACAGGAGCTTTTCTCTAATGTCCAAATCCACATCAACTGCCCTAGAGTATGCTGTTCCTGCTTTTCCCTAGCCACTCTGCTGGGCACGTGAGGTCCCCTATATTCTTTGGACCCAGAGACAGAAAATATCTTCATTTACACTCTGCCGCCTCGTATTCCTCCACTCTTAGACAGAGGCTAAACACAACATCCATGTTGATTGTTCAGTACGTAAGAATTGAGATGACGGAAGAAGGTCACTGTGAGCTTCAGGGATAGCTTGGAGCTGACCTATGAAACAGGTGAGGTTTGTTTGGGACTCTCCTACCTCCCTCATAATATATTCTTCCATTCTTCAGAAATCATCCACTATGTAAAGATATTGGTTTCATATTTGGCCATTCCTGCTTAAGGAGCTAACAGATATACTATCTTACAGAAATGATTGGCTGTCCAGTACCTCAATTTCCTTCAAATGTTTGAGATTTCATGATTCTTTACTGCTTAATTCTTGTCCCTCTTACCTAGAAATCCTGGGACAGTGGACTTTTGGGGACCCTGAGAAATTCTAAATTTATAAAACTCTGCTCAAATTTATGGTACTAAAAGAAGACTAATAACATCCTCTGGAAAAAAAATAACTTCAGAGAAAAGTCATATGAAAGGAGCATTGAAGGATGTGGGTTTGATCACGTATGTATAGGGAAACTTTGGTTCTAGAAAACTGATAGGTGTGCAGACATGAAGCTGTGTCCCTCTGGTTGAGGGAATTGAATATGATCCTTAGAAGCATCTTTATGCCAATTTTAAATATGGTTAGGCAATAAGCAAGCTTCTCAGACACATCTAGATATTAGCACAGGGGTCTATAAATTATGATTCTTTATACCTATAGGTTGTACTAAGTTGAAAAATATCCCCACAAAATTTATGTCATCCCAGAATCTCAGAATGTGATGTTATTTAGAAGTAAGTGTAATTAATTAACATAAAGTCATACTGGATTGAGTTGGACCTTAAATCCAATGGCTGGTGCCCTTATGGGAAGACAGATGAAGACACACAGAAAGGAAAGTTACTTAAAGATGCAGGCAGAGATTGAGTTCTGTTGCCAGAAGCCAAGGAACACCAAGAGCCACCAGAAGCTGGAAGAGGCAAGAAAGGACCTTCCCTTGAAGTTTCAGAGAGAGCGTGGCTCTTCCAACCTCTTCATTTTTGACTTCTAGCCTCTAGAACTATGAGAGAATAAGTTGCTGCTATTTTAAGCCACTCCGTTTGTGGTAATTTGTTACAGTGGTCCTGGGAATGATACACAGGTAAAAAATAGAAGTAGATCCCTCATAGAGCACATTGACCATCATGGACTAAGAAGACTTGAGAGCTGGCCACTGACTGGGCCCTCAATCTCACAAGGGGACATGGAGGAAGTATTTCTTCAACACAAACTCTGTTCACTGTTGTGTATCAGAAGCTGTGTTTACCTTTCCATCTCACATGAGCCCACAAGGTAAGAAATATTGAATTGGGTGCCGTCTCAAAGGTCAGCATGCCCATCTGTTTGTGTGCAAACACACTCCTCTGGGTTTCTCTCACTCCTACCTTTTCATCAAAAACCCAAAGTCTGATCACAAGGTATTCCTGTTTGAACTGGTGAGTTTTTCTCAGTGGCATCAGACAAAAAGGCTAAAAGCTGCCGGAAGCTTCCTCCATAGTAGATTAGCAGCACATGGGTGAACCAAGCTCATACATTATTCAGAAAGGAAAAATGTGGGCTTTGACTGAGCTTTGAAGGAATCGGCAGCTATTCCAGAGGAGAGTGCCCTATTGTTCTGCCTCACAGAACACAAAGAGCAAGTGGCATTCCTTACAGCATAGCTAATGGAGTGCATACAGACACTGTGATGAACTGACCAGTGGACATCTTTCATGAGCTCTGAAATCCTATTCAAAATGACCGATTGCTGATCAGAGGAAAGATGTTCACACTTTTTTTTCTAAATTTATGTAGGGTTATAACTCAGTGCTACCCAGAGCAGGAGCTTTTTGGAAGATAAAATGGTGCCATCTGTGGAACACATATTTATCAACAGTACCAAAGTCCCCTTGGAAGGGTTACCAGGAAGATTAGGTTGACCTTTCGATCACTGTCTGGCAGGTTTTTCCTCAAAACATGGGAAGCCTTTCCTGTGTCATGAAGCAAGATTAGAAATGATTATGTAATTCAACTTTTTAAAAAATAAAATCTACACTGGCCAGGCGAGGTGGCTCATGCCTGTAATCCCAGCACTCTGGGAGGCAGAGGTGGGTGGATCACGAGGTTAAGAGATGGAGACCATCCTGGCCAACATGGTGAAGCCCCGTCTCTACTAAAAATACAAAAAATTAGCCGGGCGTGGTGGTGCATGCCTGTAGTCCCAGCTACTCCAGAGGCTGAGGCAGGAGAATTGCTTGATACTGGAAAACAGAAGTTGCAGTGAGCGGGGATCGAGCCACTGCACTCCAGCCTGGCAATAGAGCGAGACTCCGTCTCAAATAATAATAATAATAATAATAAAATAAATAAAATCTACACTACGTGTGTTTCTTTGATATAAGAAAAAAGATTTTCCAAAAAGGAAGAAGGAAACCCTGACCAAAATGTTCAAGCAAAGGCTAATAGGATCTTAAGCCCAGAGCATTTGCAAGAATTCTGAATTAATTCCTGGTGGAGTATCTATTTTAAAAAATTTTAAAAAGGTAAAAGGCTGCTATTATAGTCCTCCTAAAGTCCTACTTTATCATCAATGTATCTGAGTACATCTTGAAGTCATGATTAACTCATTTTAAAGTTCACCTGTGTATGCTTATAAATCCTGTTCACAGAGGCCCAAAACATTTTTCTAGTATTCACTTACTTGAAATTTTTTCTAGGTAAAAATACAGACAAAAAATAAGCTTATAAAAATAATCAATCCCAGCGACAGAGGAGACAAAGAAAAAAAAGTGTTGGAAAGTAGAGAAGATAAATGGACCTGAATAACAAATGAAATTTTCTCCCCAGTCCCGGTACTTTTCTCCCAGATGAAAGATGCTGGATGCTGGCATTGCTGCCACTTCTGATATAGCGCCAAGGAGATCAATGCAGGAGGAGACCTCTTAAACAGGGAATTTTTCAAGAATGGCCTACCACATTCATCCCTTGGCCCTCTGCCATTTTTGATGTCCAAGCCAGCTAAATCAAGACATGATTGTGTTTTTAACTAGCATTCAACCTTTAGGTTTCACAGTGGAATTACTTCCCCAAATCTGCCATGTGCTGTTTTCTAGAGTGGGTTTACATTTAGTCTCTGGACTTTTTGGTAACCAAGAACTTCTGGCAACTAACCCTGGCATGGCCACCAGAATCTGCAGGGTTGAGAGAGGGAAAGAAAGGCAAAAGTGGATGAATGTAGCTGAAGGTAACAATTATAGAACTGTTATTTGATATAGGGCAATGTTATCCAATTATAACTTGAGATGCATCAGAGGCTTGGCCAATACAATATCAAAACAAGACTGTATTTTTTTTCGGTTTTGGATACTTGTATCATACCCTATTTGAATGGGGAATTAAATCAATTTAAATTATTGCAGAAAATACCAATAACCAATAAAAGAAAGCAAGCAATAACATTGAAAATTGCTCTTTGAGTATTTGTAAAACTTGGTTCTCTGAATATAATTCTTAAGTACTTAAATTAGAAAGATACTGTCATAGAGACGGAACAATTAGTATTAAAAAGACATCTAAAAATCCTATTATTTAAAAGTTAATAACCTTGTTATTAATCCAACTGCCCAGATATTAATAAAAACAAGAAATGTTTAGTTCAGCCAATCTCAGTAACTCAATAAACTATCCTGGGATCAAATTGGTTACTTAGTGACCAGCAGTACTTATAAAGTAGATTATATTTCAATTTAATACACTGTTTTATAAAAACATAGTCAGAAACATAGAGAACTCTACTTATAAATACAGTTCCTACCCAATAAGATTCTTTTTAAAATCCTGTTATAATGAATTTGCTGAACACAAGTTTTGTTAAACTTCATGTTGCTTCTCTTCCTTCAGGCAATTTATTCAGCAATTAATTTTATTCAGCCTTCATAGTTATCTTTGCTTCAGGGTTATTTCTACAACTGGATTATGGACATCTAAAATCATATCCTCTCACACTGAAAGGACTCTTTACAGGTCACCTATCTAATGCTTGCCCTCCACTCCCCACCCACCCAATGAAGGGAATAATTTATATTTGGCTTTAACGAGAGTCTAAAATAATTATCTTATTGAAGAAAAAGCATCTCAATATTATTGAATAAATAAATAATGTTTGAACTATTCAAAATATCTAGTGGCTTCTCCAACATTGCACAGCTGGAGTGCACACCTTACCACTGTGAGTCACACCACTCTTCTCTAGCTAGGTAAGCTGAGCAGAAACAGGCTGCCTTGTTACTTAGTGGGAGAACACCCATCACTGCCAGGTAAAACAGTGCCTAGAATACAAAGGGCAATCAAATATTCCAGCTATATGGAGGCTGAATAGGAAATTTCCCCAGCTATTGCACTGAATCACTTGACTAGAATTCATTCTGGAAAAAAATATCAGATCTGTTGAGACTTTTTTTTTAAAAAAAAATAGCTAATTAAGGTGGTAAACAATATACCTGAAATAGTCTTATATTTTGAGTTTCCTGTAGTATAAAATTTCTACTTATAATGCATCTATTTTCCAAATATCTTTCTATAGTATTTAAACATATGTATTATTAAGGTTACTGAATAGATAATTTCTGTTCAGTAATTAAATTTTAAATATCTGGGAAGACCAACATAAAATAAATACCAATACATGAATTAAGCATATATTTATTTACCCACTATGTTACCATTGTGGAATTCAACAAACACCAAACAGAAAGTATTATCTTGGGCTGGGCGCGGTGGCTCATGCCTGTAATCCCAGCACTTTGAGAGGCTAAGGCGGGCAGATCACGAGGTCAAGTGTTAGAGACCAGCCTGGCCACCATGGTGAAACCCTGTCTTTACTAAAAATACAAAAATTAGCCACGTGTGGTGGTGTGCTGCCTGTAATCCCAGCTACTGAGGAAGCTGAGGCAGGAGAATCGCTTGAACTTGGGAAGTGGAAGTTGCTGTGAGCCGAGATTGCCCCACTGCATTCCAGCAGAGGCAAAAAGCAAGACTCTGTCTCAAAAAAAAAAAAAAAAAAAAAAAAAAAAAATTTTTTAAAAAAAAAAAAAAAAAAAAAAAACAACCAAGTATTTTATGTTGTTTATATTTTGCTTGGCAAGTATTCCTAAATATATAGATTAAATTGATCTTTCATTATTACACCTGCTTGTTTATAAGGAAAGGAAAGTGATTTGTTAGTGGAAAAAATAATTATGTTGGCAGTCCAAATTTTGATTTTTTTCCAAATTTCGATTTTTAAAAACTGCCATTATTTTGTAATTTTTCTAGTGTTCACATTTTAAAAGCACAATTCAATTCATATAGTACTTAAACAAAAACAAAATTTTTAATAAACATATTTAATAATACCTATAATGCTTAAACTTATTAATTGGATAATTTCAGAAATTTTTTACTATTGAGGGAAGCTACATGAGTCATTCCAAGTCACCAGATTTGTCTTAATAAAATTCTTTAGCAATTTTATGCATAAAAATTATTTGCAATTCAATAATTCATCCTTTCACTCATTTCATAGATGTTATATAACTCCTATCACATTCCAAGTGCTATGTTGATATCTGGAGGTATAGACAAGATTGAAGCAGATGCAGAGTCTTACACATGAATATTTGAATGAGGAAATATGTTCCCCAAATTAGCAAAGCATCTCGCAGACTCTTTTCTTGATGATATATTTGAAATCCTAATGCTGCAAGTTAAATTATCAGGGATTTAAAACTAGAAGAAGTCATGATCACAATTTTATATACTATTTAATTTTAAGCACAAAATTTGACTGTTTAAGTCTTATTATAATTTTAAGCAAAGTACTTTGGGTAGTCATAAATAAAGTAACTGGCAGGTATTTAGTATTTATGTTGTGTGGATTCATATCCATACTCTACCACTCAGTATCTCTGGGATTTTTGATGAATGATCAAACTCTCTGAGCCTCAGTTTTCTAAAGTGTAAAGCGGAAATGATATTGGAATGTAGTGATAATTAAATAATGTACTAGCTGTAGGTGCTTAGAACAGTTCCTGGAATATTAAAAATTTAAAGAGACATTTTATTTTTAATAGTTTAGTTAATGGAATGGCTTCAAAAATACAGTTAAATTAAGATATTCAAAGAAGCAGGATGTGGGTGACCAGTATTGGCGTCAGCTTTAGAGACCAAAGGTTAAGTCTCAATGCTGCTGCAAAAGGGTTCAGGTAACAGTCAGTAAACAGTGCTTCTT